ACGCCGCAAAAACTCCGCTTTTGATTTGCCCCTAGCCCTGAACTCCAAACGATGCTTCGATTTAGCATAAACAAGAGGTACTTGTGCTGTCAAACTTCAATTCCCCCGAAGCAGAATACAGGTCATACCAATTTATGCCGTAAAAACTCCGCTTTCGATTCACCCCTTGCCCTTCTCCCGAAGTCACGGAGTCATTTTGCCGAGTGCCCCTTCAACATGGTTATCTCAAGCGCCGAAGCAGAGTACAGGTCGTACCAATTTATGCCGTAAAAACTCCGCTTTCGATTCGCCCCTGGCCCGGTCCTGAAAGCAGGAGGCCAGTTTTTAAAGGCACAGTTGCAAGTTCGCGCGCCTTTGTCAACTTCGGCAGCCAATGTACACGACTCCAACCAAGTTGAGAGTCCAATTTCAGCCTCTCCTAAAAATTAGGCAGCTCGTGCGTCGGCGATAAAATACATCGACGCGACGGTGGGCAGGTTCCGAAAGGGGTCCCCGATCGATGGCTGGCATGTAGTGGTGGTTTACGTTCTCATTGTGGACAACAGAGCACTCATCCTGGCGAGTAACTGATCTTTTGGAACAGCTCCTTCCTGCACATCACAAGTTTTCACACAGCAATCCAAGTTGAAAGTGTTATCTATACTCTGCGCGTACAGTCCTAGCTATATGTTTGCCTATATGGACATTCATTTATATGTGCACCCCTTTCATGCATTTATAGTCATACCTTTCATGTATTGGCTGTAACCGTTATCTGTCTATACTGCTCGTAAAGTCCTAGCTATATGTTTGACAGTATTCCAAGTTGAAAGTTTTATCTATACTGATCCTACAGTCCTAGCTATATGTTTGTCTATATGTACATTCATTTACCTATACGAATCTATAATCCTACCTTTCATGTATTGACTGTCGTTGTAGCTATCTCTCTATAGCATTGATTGCCTCTATCGATAGGCAAACATCCACTTATATCCTATATTATCATCAGTGATTTGCATATGTGTACCTTTCATGTATTGCCTATAACTGAGCTCTCTCTCCAGGTTGGCATAAGTTCAGACTCCATAGTGTTTTTTTTTTTCTATAAGACTGATTACCTCTATCGATAGGCAACCATCCTCCTTTATACTATTCACTGCTATTTTAGTATTTTCTGTTATTTCCAAGTTATTTGCGGAGTCCTATAGCATGGCTACTCAATGGGCCAGGGCATCACCATTCAGAGAGATCCAGCCCGGGGCTGGTCGCGGTTTCAACCAACCACGGTTTGAGCTGTGTTTATGAGTGGTATAACCTCTAGATGAACCCTCCATGAGGGAACTTGGAGACTTGGGGAAATGAGTTGGAGGCCAGCTAAAATAGACGGATGCCGGAACCTGAAAAGAAAAAGAAGAACAAAGAAGAACAGGAAAAAGAAGAACAAAAGACAAAAAGAAAAGAAAAAGACATATAGGAATGACCTTTTGATGACCTGCTCGATTTCTTGCTGTAGAAGCTTCAAAGCAGTCCTGGTATGTCACCCACTGAATTTTCTTCGCGTTGCACAATATTGGGTGGACATCGGCAAGAAGTCCCTGCAAGCTGAAGTGCACGTGATCCTCTTCTCGTGGACAAGGTAGTCCTGTACCGCAGCAGGTGCAACCGTCCTTTCACACGAAAGTCCGCTGGTTGTGTAGCAGATCAACGACCAATGGGTTATTTGCCCATACAATCCTCACCTTGCTCCACGCTCTTTCGTCATGCATGAGGAAACCCCCATCTCCCACCTTGTCATTCGTAACTTTCCAACACCCCTAGCACCACCCAGGGTGTTATTTGAAAAAAAAAAAAAAAAAAAACTATCGCAGAACTTCAATTGAACTGTCATAAGTGCCCATATCTGCCACCCCAATACGTCTTAAATCGTACGCAAAATGACAATCCTTTGCAGTCCTATACAGTCTGCATAATTCTTCGACATCATACTTCTTCACGACGCCGACACCGACGCCAACGCCTCCCAGCACAAGCAACTCCTTTCCTTTTTAACTCTCTGCTTCGTGTCGTGGCTCCTCCGCTTCCGCCTCACACCATTTGTGCTCATTGCAAGATTCCATCGATGACTGTATAATTTTTCGTATGCGCAACCTTCAATAGGTAAGAGAACTCAGGACTCTCACCCAGATTCTTGTCGTCCCCAGTTACTGTAGAGGTGTGTATCCTTACCGCGATGTTCGCAACGGGAGAGAACCATCAACACTGGAGATGCGTGTGAACTGCTGGTTGACTCTCACTGTCTTCTGCGCTTTCCGAACGTCCTCCCCCTTCCTCTTCGGTTCACTCTCACCATCTTCTTCCGTTTTGCCTTGCTCTGGCTTTTCTGGGGATGGTCGGAAGTAGGCCGACGGCGGCGGGTACGAGGATGGAAGGTTGATTGAAGGGAATCGTCGGGTGGATAAGGCCCCTGCAAACCTAGGCGTCCCTATGTAGCTATGTAGGCAGTGTGCGCACACATACATTTCTTTCCTTTTTTTATTTTTTTAGTGTTTTATTTATGACAAAACAAAGAAAAGGTTTACTTTTTTGTGTTTTTTTTTTTGCCCTGGAGCACATTTTGGCACCAGACTTTGGTTTTAGGCCCGGTACGCGCCAAGCCATTGAGGCGCTTCCTAAAATTTGAGATGAGTTCGAATTTGGGTGCCAAGTTAGGCGCCAGGTTTTTGGGCGCCAGATACTGCCGTCGTTCGGCACTCGTGAGAGCAGCCTCCCAGTCGGACCAGCGCTATATATAGCTGGTCCGCCAGAGAGAGAGAGAGAGAGAGAGAGAGAGAGAGAGAGAGAGAGAGAGAGAGAGAGAGAGAGAGAGAGAGAGAGAGAGAGAGAGAGAGAGAGA